TTCGGCCCCTGTGAGAATAGGCCGAACGACAGCGAGTAGCCTGCCAAGGGTTCGGCTCAGCTGATCCAGATGTTGTATTGGCTGAGTCAAACTCCTTCTGCACTTCTGCTAAGCCGAACATGCTGTGCATGTTCGACTGAACCGAAGGCAGCCGAAGCAAGCCGATGTACGGCTGAATTTAGCTGTACAAGCCTGAAGTGAATAGCTGAACAGCGTTTGGCTCACTTCACTTCATGTGGGTTATTCACTCGGCTGCCTTTGCCAGCTTTGTGAATAACCTTCATAGTGTTTGCAATAATATACAGTATACTCACTAAAAAAAAGTGTATTATTTCACCTTCACAAAACTACACAGAAACTATTACCCGCCTTAAACAGCAATTCCCATTGCCCTTTACAGCATACATTTAAGAGCACTGTTAAAGTCAACAAAACAAAACAAAAAAATCATTTTACCATTGCAAGCCAATTAATGATATCTAATATAACGTAGAAGCCAGTATTAAATCATCCCTAATGTTTACAGGGCACCCTTTTTCTGGAAGGAGGTTAGGGGCATTCTTTCGTTTTGGTTCCAGACATGAAAATCAGCTTTCAGCTTTCAACTTTTAAAATAACTTTCATTTGAGCTGCCTTTTGACAAACACCACATCTTGTATACTAGCAGTCTGTCCGCCAAAGTGCTCCAGAATAGATTTATCAAGTGTTAGGGAAGGATTGCCTAGCTTTCAGACACAAATCCCGACAGCAAATGGAACACGTTTTTCATCTCATTAATCACACTTTGTACATGCTGATAACAATATACAGCCTACAAGCTCCATCTGTCCCTGTAAGCACCCTGGATCAATCTTATTTCAGAAGTAAAAGCCTATTCACTTGGTACGGCCCTTTCCAAACTTGTGAACATATCACAAGTCATTTATCAAGTCATTGGGTAGACTATCCATGGCAAACATCAATGGATACTTGCCTGACCATTGTCAGCATAACTGCTGGCAGTACCAAGGAACATGCTGGCTGTGCAATATTAACAATTACAATACATTTACTATAAAGTTAAATTGTATGTTTATTTTAGACCATAAACATAAATAAAATATTGATGCAGATTGTGATAGTGTTTCTTTTTATTAAAGGAACAAGGATAGGTAGTCTTTATGAGAATGTCAAAACCAGTGGGTAACGTTGAATCCACTGGAGCACCTGGTGCTCGACTAAGCTCTACTCAGAATGGGTGAACTAGGCAGCGAACCACAAAGTCCAATAAGAAGCCAAATCACCAACAGATCTGCCATCCTTAGTTTGCCTACTGAATTGCTGTTTGTCCACTGCCGAAAAGGTGGATTAGAATAAACTTCTATGTAAATGCACGTAGTATAATGATTGACAGTTCGGCCCGGATTTGTTATGATGTGCTTGGGTGAAAGGGATGAGAAGGTCTAGGAGCAAAGACACTAGTGGCAGGTTCATAAGAGCTGAGTTCTGGGCAATACCCCTTCTGTTTAATGAGGTAATGCACCAGATTACCCATTTTGCAAGAATCCAAGATGCCTCAAACTCTTTATTTTTTAATAATAAAAGATCCTAGATTTTCTGAGCTGCTAAAAAATGCATTAAAGGAGAATTATGAGGCGAGTGATTTTCACTCACCCTCATAATCTGAGCCCACCTGTGACAATGAAACTGTCACAGGTCAGCTCAGTAGATCGGGAAGTGAGCGAACACATACTGTGGCTCGCTCACTTTTCGATCTATCCCTGCAGAAAGCTGTGACTGTCAGTCACGGCTCCCTGCAGGGATTCCCCCCTCCCCTGTTCGATCCCCCAGCACTGACTAGCGGAACGGACGGGGGAGGGGGCGGGCACAGCTGGCTCTGCCTCTAGATAGGCAGAGCCAGCTGTCACTCACGCTGCTGAGTGGATCCAGACAGTATTGTCGGGATCTGTTCCGGCTGTGGCGTCTCAGTATACCGCGAGCTGTAGCTCACAGTATACTGAGCTTTGGGTCACGGGAGGACGCTAGTTTGTGTTCTTCCGTGACCCTTAGGCGAACTATGGGGAAAAGCCCTGACCCCCATAGTTCTCCTTTAATGAAGGAGATATGAAATGCTGTATGAATCTTGTGTAAGGCCAAGAGTTCAAGTTTGAAAATAACTGGACTATTTTCAAAATTAACATGGAAAGAACTAATCAATCTGAAGGGGAGCTTTTTTAAGGTATAGGGGCTTAAAGCGTCAATGCAAGGTATGTGTTTTAAATGTGGTCTCCCTCCCCCTTGTCCAATACACTAAATAAAACATAGAAAAACTCATGCAGGGGAAAACAAATTAGATGATATGCTCACCTTTCCCCAGCTTATGTAGTGCATGTGGTGACGTCATTATTCTGTCTTTGAGAGCCTAAGCACTGCTGAGTACTCCAAATCTCAGAAAAAGGTGATGCAGCACAGGGTATGATTGTCTTCTCAATGAGATTTAAGTTACTTATTATTCCCTAGGATCTTGCAAGATCTGCTTGGATCAATTTTGTTTCCCATTTGGGATTTTTTTGTGTGGCAGTTTTGGGTTCCTGAAAAAGTTCTGGAACAAAAAAAGGTTGTGGTTCTTGTAATTGGTTCACGCCCTCATAATTACATAAAGTCTAAATGTTCCAGCAGGAAAAATAGACCCCTTTATAAGCCTTATTGCAAATTACACCTCTATGTTCTAAAAGTGCCTTAAATTCAGATTCAGAGCTATAGAGGCCAACTTAGTAGTTAGCACTTCTGCCTTGTAGCAGTGAGTTCCTTGTTCCTAGCCAGGACACTATACAGTATGCTTGGAGTTTGCATGTTCAGCCTTTGCTTGTGTGGATTTCCTCCAGATACTCTGGTTTCCAAAGCACACTCCAAAGACGTGCTTGTAGGTAAGCTGGCTCCTGCCTTTAACTGACCCTAGTATGTTAATCGACTGAGCGTGTCAAAGATAGCTGCCTCACCTCCTATCTACCACAACACTACTTTGATAAATGCTTTGAGCCCACAGGTAGAAAAGCACTTATAGAAATATAAAATAATAATATGACCAAAAGGAATGTCAGCTCGTAGCACGTTTCCCCCTCCTGAGATCCTCCATCCAAGACATCAGACTGGCACCCCGGAGCAGAGTGGCAGCACAGGGTATGTACAGGCATGGTACAGGAAAACTGCACCTAAACTCCACAGCTACTTTAGAAATATTGCCTGTTGTTTCTATCCTGTAATTTATTCTGCTTTGCTGCATATTGTAGTGCTGGGATTTGTAGTCCTCTATAGCTGATGTATTATTCAGCATTACTGTTTAATGCATTTCTGGGATATGTAGTCCTCTATAGCTGATGGTATTATTCTACATTGCTGAATAATGTATTGCTGGTAATTGTAGCCCTCTATAGTCTGTTTCATTCTGCGTTGCTGTATAATGTATTGCTGGAAGTTGTAGTCCTCTATTGCTGATGGTATTCTGCATTGCTGTTTAATGTATTGCTGGGATTTGTAGTCCTGTATAGCTGATGCCATTCTGCATTGCTGTATAATGTATTGCTGATATTTTTTGTCCTCTATTGCTGATTGTATTCTGCATTGCTATATAATGTATTGCTGGGATTTGTAGTCCTGTATAGCTGATGCCATTCTGCATTGCTGTATAATGTATTGTTGAGACTTGTAGTCCCTCTACAGCGTGGAGTCAGTGGCAGAGCTACCAGGGTTGTAGCGGTTGCAGCTGTGACTGGGACCTGGTGCTCCCCCACTGTCCTAAAATCATTAGTCTGTATTGTTTTACAAAAACATAACACTAAAAAAGGTATTGGTAATTGGTATCAGCGAGTACTTGAGGAAAAGTATCAGTACTCGGTCTGGAAAAAATTGTATTGGTGCATCCCTAGTTATCACGCAAGATTTCTTAATGCTGCCAAATCAATAGATCAATAAAATCCTAGCAAGAGACATGTGAAAAACAATTGATTTAGAGCAGGGGTAGGCAACTATGACACTCGAGATGTTGTGGAACTACAAGTCCCGTTAGGCATTTTAAGAGTCTGACAGGCATTGTGGGATTTGAAGTTTCACCACAGCTGGAGTGCCAAGGTGGCCTAACCCTGATTTAAAAACATGTCAGGCTTAGGATGATGGGATAAATAGGATAGAAAATTGAAATTTTGGTGCCCAGGGGAAGAGTTATAAAAAGCAGGTAAATTAATTGAGTCACAAGGCCAGACCTGCTTGTTTGATTCGTACACAACTAGGGATGTGCTCAAGTGTGGACCAAGCCCAGTCTGAACCTTGGCTCCTCTGAACTCAAAAGGAGCTCCTCTCGAACACAGAAGAAAGCTCCTTCATTGCAACCCAATCAGCTGGGCGTGAGCAAAGGGTTGGGATACAGTGACGTCATGGACATTATATGGCTACATGCTTATTTTTCCTTGAGGGGTTTTGGACTCCCGGGTTACATCCTGGCCTTTTCTATTCCTCTTGCTTTCTCCCTCCCTTCCCCTTTTTCCTGTGTTCCCCCAACTCACTCCTCCCTACCAGTGTTATTTCATTTCTTGTTTTAATTGGGGAGATTTGTTATTTGAACAGGATGATACTGTATGAGGACATAATGTCTGATGTTATACATGTGTATTTAAGATGCCCACAATACTTGCATACTGTCAACGCTCCAGTTTTGGTTATTCTGTTTTTATGCTCCAGACGGTAGCGCCCCTGTGAGGGCGATACTGGTTGTTATGTTTATTTTCTTTTGAAATTTGAAATAAAAATATTGCAACAGTACTTGTCATTACCCTTTCTAAATGAAATCCCAGGTTTCGGCGGACGGCCACTTTGTGAGACAATCATAAATTCATGAAAATAATCATTTAACGTTATTGACACTTTTTATACCTTAACACAATATTAACTGTGTACAATAAAAATAAACAAGTGTTGATAACAGCTATAAAAGAAACATGAGATATTATAATCAATAGTCATCTTACCTCTGGTTCATAGTGGATTTCTATCCTCTTTTGGGTATTTTTGACTACCTGGGCATTCCCTCGGCTCAGCAAGGAGAGAGTTGACATCTTTCATGGCCGACTCCTCCAGAGACCTCCAATCCCAGCAGCCCCCACCACACTCATATTCCTCTGCTCTAGACCAGCAGATGATTTTGATCCTCTCTAAAAGATCCACAGCAAATCTCCCGATATAAAATGATCTCTATTTAGATCAGAAGACAAAGTTTGCCTGCTAGAAAAGATTTATAGAAGTGTTGAGGATTTCTGTGCTCTCAGACCCGCCCATTGCTCACACTGTTTGTGTTGTCTTTTCTGCACTGGTTGCTAGCCTGCACCATCTAAAGATCTTTCATACTCCTCACTGCTCTTCATTGTTGAAAGGGATTGTTTCTATTGTTACCTTGGTAGCAAATTGGGAAATCATGAGCCCTCGGGAACTCTGAAAATGCCAGCAGTTAAAACTGGTGCAATACAGTTGGCAGAACCCTGCTCACTGGTAATCAGCTCAGAGATATATTTATTACACCTTAGCTTAAACAGTAGCAATTCTTATAGTTTTGTACTTGATATACAAATATACATTAATTGTGTGTGTGTATATATGTGTGTGTGTGTATGTGTGTGTGTGTTGTATGTGGCAGGACAAGTACTGTTTCTAAAACTTGTTCTTGGTTAGCGCTGTGCATATTTTCCAGTTTACTTATTTGAAAAGTAAAATGATTTGTGTGTTTATTTATTTCAAACAGTTAAAGGAGAACTATGAGGTGAGTGAAAATCACTCATCCTCATAGTTCGAGCCAACGTGTGACAATGGAACTGTCACGTCGGCTCAATAGATCAAGAAGTGAGCGAACGCATACCGTCGCTCGCTCACTTCTCGATCATGTCCCTGCAGTGAGCGGTGACTGTCAGTCTGTCAGTCACCCTCACTGCTTCGATCCTCCAGCACTGACTGTAGGAACAGACAGGGAGAGGGGGTGGGTACAGCTGGCTCCGCCTCTAGATAGGCATAGCCAGCTGTCACTCACGCAGCTGGGTGGATGGCGTCGTTACGGCTGCGGCGGTCTCAGTATACTGGGAGCTGTAGCTCGCAATATACTGAGCTTTGGATCATGGGAGGATGCTAGTATATGTCCTCCCGTGACCCTAAAGAGAACTATGGGGGGAAATCACTTACCCCATAGTTCTCTTTTAATAATTAGCATTAGAAGTGAAGCTAATTTTTTTTTCTAGTTTTGGATAGAGTAAGGGAGGGTTATAAGTGCTGTCAGTTTCTTTTGCCATATGCGTCCCCGTGGGGAGATTTCCCTTCACTTTCTGTCCAATAGCCACAACAGGAAGTGAGAGGAAACCCCTCCAAAAAGAGAGTAATCCCTTGTGGTCAGCGGAGTCACCAGAACTAATGTCCCAATTACAAGATTTCTCATCTATTCCTGTTCTGATGGCAACCCAAAATTTGGGATTTTCTTATACATTCAGTGATAATGGTCACCAGGACCCCTAATGGGCATACAGACAGCAATAACATCTAACAGAATTTCGAATCCCTCTCATCTCTTTCCAAAACTAAAACAAACATTTTGGCTTCAGTTGCACTTTACCTTCTTGTTCCTTGTAGTCCTCTTGCGATGGCATTTAGGCTGCTGATAGATTTGTGGCATGTCTGAAAATACAGCATTTAAAATGAAACAATTATTCTTCATAAAGAACAACCTCTGCCAGGGGGTAAGATTGCAAGGTTGATCAAAATGTAACTAATCTCTCTATAAGAATGCATCCCTACCTCTTTCAAGCCTTCCCCCAGCTATACTAATAATCTTTTCATCAGGGATAGACAACCTCGGTGCTCCAACTAGGGTAAAACTACAAATCACATGCCTATGCCTTTGAGAGCCATGCTGTGGCTGTCAGAATCTTACAATGCCTCATGGGACTTGTTCCACAACAGCTGGAGTGCCAAGGTTACCCACTACTGCTTTAGAGAAGAGTACCTGCAATGAGAATTTATGCAGAATGGGTTCATAAATGATAACACAGAACAGCCAACACATTTCGGGAGCTCGAAGTCCCCCCTCCTCCTTCCTCAGGGCTTAAACATGATGGGTAGTATTATGGACTCAAAACTGGCGCAAATCACCATGTCCGCCCTTCGGTACAGACATGCAGTAACATGGACGGGGTGGAGAATGAATGGACTACAAGTGCGGTGATTAACTATTGAGAACTTCAAGTCCCCCTGCTGCAGTAGCTGATGGGACTTGTAGTTTCTCCATTCACAGATCAAAGGATATGGGAATAGATGACGCGCTTTGTGGGCGAAGCCACACACAGTCGCTCTGAACTCAAAAGTTTACAGTAACATTTGGGGAGAATAACTGCGATTCAGTTAAGTGGGGGAGGGGCTGATCCTGTTTAATGTTGCACCCTAAATATGGTCAGAAAGGTAAACATGAAACATGGTCGGAAAGCTGAACCAATCCTTTAAAAACTGCGTATCTATGTATAATTTGCAATTATTTATGTACATGAGTCAGTCATATTTCTTCATTACTTATGCAGCTTGTGTTTGCAGTGCTACACAATGGTTGCTCTTTATTGCCTGTTCCCACAATGCTGGTCTATGGGTCGGCTGATCTACAACTTAACAAATATGAAAGAGCAAGCTTGTAAAACTGTAAAAGTGAAATTAAAAATCACTTTAAGTTAAACGCTGCAGTACTGATTCAAAATATCCATTTGCTGAAAATACATTAGACTTGCCGTTTAACAGGTTACTATATCAGTACTTACGCAAAGTTTATGTTCATTTACTAGTAGCTCCCAAAGGTTAAGCCGATCAATTTATCTTCTCAAAATGGAAGAGGACTTGTAAAAGAAACATGTTTGGCAAAGTCTTCTTTATACATTGAGAAAGGAAATGTGTTTGCATTTTGTGTGTGGAAAAAATACATGAATAGGAAGCATGTTATTCAAATATTTTATTAGCTTAAAGAAGCTATCTCCTGCAGGCATCTAAAAGTAAACATTCACTATTTTCATGTAGTATACACTGCAAGCAGCGTCATATATGCAGTGGTGTATTTTGTTTTTGTGCTGCCCTAGGCAAGACTAAACTCGGGCACCCCCCTCAGTCTAAATTTGCCCCACCCCATCCTGTTTAGCCCATTTTGCTTAACCTGTCAGTCACTGGATACAGCGCACACAGGGTCTCAGGAGGGCTGTCTGGGGTCTCAGGAGACCTGTGCAGGGTTTATGGTGGGCTGTGTGGGGTCTATGGTGGGTTGTGCGGGGTCTCAGGAGGACTGTGCATGGTCCCTTTCCCTGATACATGTGCTGCTCCTCTTACCTGCAGCCCGAAGTGCCATCAGTACCAACAGGATACATCCCGCCATCAGATCACATGCTATGGCCAGCCCCGAGCCACCCGCTGCTTCCTCTCCACCTCCTGTACAAAGCCAGCCGGACCGCATCTCACTGGGACCTCCCCTCCACTGGGCAGCTCTCTAATTAGGCAGCCGCTCTTAGGGCCTTGCGGCCGCCTAGTTTGCCTCATTAGGCAGCTGCCACTGCCTGACTCTGTGCCGCCCAGCCTCTGCTGGGCAAGTGCCCAGTATGCCCAAAGGCAAGCCCGGCCCTGTTCGCCTCATTGGTTTGGGGCAGCGTTTTCTGCCGCCCCCCTGGAAAGTGCCGCCCTAGGCAAATGCCTAGTTTGCCTTGCGGTAGATACACCCCTGCATATATGGCCTGATAACAGCACATGATGCATTATAATGGAAGAATTACCACCGCAGCGGGACAGAGAATCAGGTGAGTGTATCTGCTTTATTTGAGCAACCTAGACAAAATGAGCACTTACCCCTTACAGTGTGGGATAACTCCATAGGTACATGCAATTACCACATGATTGTGTCTACAGCTCCGTGTTTAGAGATGGACAAAGTAAGCAAAATCCTGAGGTATGTAAATGTAATAAACAATGTGTAGTCCTTCCCAAAATCCTAGATAGGGGTCTGGTATGGATTCTAACGGGGGCCCCACTCAAAGAAACAAAAAAGAAACAATGTGGGGCATACCTCCACATCAGGAGCCTCCCTTCACATCAGAAGCCCTCTTCCCATCAGGAGCCGCCCCTTCAAATTTGAAGCACCCCTTCACACCAGACTCCCCCTCAGTGCCACCTTTGTAGCAGAGTCCCCCTCAGTGCCCGCTTCACACAGAGTCCCCCTCAGT